TTACCGGTCCCAACAATGTTTATCTCAGACCTGCAATAAGTGAGTACAAAACAATCAAATCAAACTTACTACCGGTCCCAACAATGTTTATCTCAGACCTGCAATAAGTGAGTAACAAAACAAACAAATCAAACTTACTACCGGTCCCAACAATGTTTATCTCAGACCTGCAATAAGTGAGTAACAAAACAAACAAATCTAACTTACTACCGGTCCCAACAATGTTTATCTCAGACCTGCAATAAGTGAGTAACAAAACAAACAAATCAAACTTACTACCGGTCCCAACAATGTTTATTTCAGACCTGCAATAAGTGAGTAACAAAATATACAAAAACTCCTATGACAGTTTCTGTTGTTATAGATGAAGACAAACAGTGCCAATCAAATTTTGTGATGTTCTCTATATTTTTACTCAACCGTCTGTACAGATAAGGGTGAAATGACCACGTTATATGTTTCCAGTCATTCATTGTTGACAGTTTGTGTCCAAAGCAGCACTGAAATCTTTTTGCATCTGATAATATGAGTTTTTATAATGTTCTTCACATAGTACGGTTGAAGATAGTTGAATCCTGCCCTCTGTTGAAAAAATCGGTCAACTGGAACATGATCCAATTATCTTGTCTTTGTATTGAAGACCACAGTTTTCCTAATGACAAATTCAACCCCTTTCAACTAGTGCTGTTTATAGATCGTGAAGAAAGATGACTTTGAACTGGCTATTAAAGAAACGGCGTTTCATAAATAACAGTTCTGTTAGAAGGGCACCATCTATCATACCCCTTTGAAAGTACAAGATCCTTGCTCTTATCCATTACTATACAGACTATACAGGTAAATCAACCACCACATGTTGTGTATTATTTTTTGGTATGTAATAATATATAAGCTGTTCTAGAAATATAGTGGGAATGTCGTCTTAAAGTGACCAGTAGATGTACAGGTGGCACCATCAGAGAGATATTTTCCAAACTATTAAACACGACATTAATACTTCACCATCACATGTCTTCACAGGTTACCGCAAAGAGGTAGAAACCGAAACTTCTTACGACTTACACATGAACTACTCCGATTACCGCAGATAAAAGTAGTTATAGAAATTATGAAATACACCAATCAGGGTATTCCTGTTTGTTTACTGGTGTTTTTTACAGCGGTCAAACATTCGCTGTAACATATCACATGATTCCTATATCATTATGATATATTCTGACACGTATAAAGTTAGTCCAGAAGTTACAGGTGTCGTAAAGTAACTTGCCAAAGAAATTATCCTTATCATTAGGGTTATACCTTACGCCGAATAATGCTGAAGTTTAATTGAATTATAGAGTGCAATCAATGAAACATCTTATCAACTGATTCATCAAGAGTATTTCCTCAGCAAACGTTTAACACTGTTTTTGTATTCACCAACACATTTAATATACTGTTACGTGATGAGGGTTAATTTAACTTGTGTCAGTATAAACTCACCTAGGCTGAGATATGATACTAACATCCCCGTGGTACCTAAGGACTTGTACGTCATCTTTCGAACATCAACTTCACTATGGAAACCCGGGATAAACGTCTGTGGCAACATGTTTCCAGTATTGTGTGTATCTAGAATTACAGGTTAAAAAAAAAAGAGTTATTCGTCTAGTGTATATACATCATAAACAGAAA